AGCAAAATATTTGCAAATAATTGACCATAACTCAAATATTTACTCTAAAAATAATAGGAATTTAGGATTAGATTTAAGAATTTTATTAACTCCCAATTTGTACTTGCTAATTAAATGAATGATTCCGCTGTTAATTATGTGTTAAATTTATAGAACTATTAATGATATCCACTTTTAGGGATGACTTTCATCATTGAATCCGATTATAAACCCAATGAATTGAATGAGAGAATCGAGGCTTTCATACAATGGTCTCAGAAATACATTCATGATATGAATGACACGGACTTTGAGACACAGAGACAGTCATTGATTGCACGAAGACTTGAGAAACCGAAACAACTCTTAGAATATTCGCATAGACTTTGGTCTGAGATCTCGAGCAAAGAGTATGACTTCAATAGGGATGAGATTGAAGTGAAAGCCATCAAAGAGTTGACAAAACAGGATATCATTGCCTTCTTTGAGGTCATTATTATTACTTTTAATTGTATTTTAATTATGAATTAAATTATGAATGAATTGATGTTTAAAACAGAGACATCTCTCCCACTCTTCAGCCACTCGTAAGAAACTGACGGTCAGTATAATCAGTGAAAACCCAATCAATGAAAAGCATTTGAATGAAGTGAATGCGGAACTAATGCCGGCCCCAAAACTACCGGTGAGTTTGTGGTCATTGACTAACCATTACTTAATTCTAATATAATTTTGTCATTCAATGCAGGAATCAATAAGAATTGAAAACATAACACAATTTAAGACACATTTGGGTTTCTATTCTGTACGCAAACCAGTAGTCGATGTCTACGCTAATGATACCACAAGTCATACACTGATCACACAATCGCAACAATAATTAACATTAAACTAGTTTTTACAACATATCCAATACCTGTCTTACAAATTATATTCAATACTACAATAATATTCACTAAATAATTCAATAATACTAGTATTCATTAATTAAAGCAGTCTCGTGCCCTGATACTTTATTGCATGAAATACTGTATCTCTAAATTGATTATCGCGTGAATCAATACTTTTCAATAGAAATCAATATAAAATTCATTTATATTGTCGTGAATTTATACTGAATATAAAAATCAGTTAATAAACAAAATCAAAAAATAAATTGAAATCATTTAACAGTAATACCATCACTTGATTTCTGCGAATCCATAACTCATTAGACAATAGTAGAGATATACCGATGGCTACCAAAGTTATCGATGACTTGTTNGGCTACCAAAGTTATCGATGACTTGTTGGCCATCATATTCTCCAAACTGAACTTTGGGTCAGTACTCAGCGCTCAGACGGTATGCAAACGATGGCTCGATGTGTCCAAAGAGGGCTTCCGTAAAGTAACCTCTATTTGGATCAAAGATAGTGACAATTATCAGACAGTCTGTGAGCCCTACGGGTTCAATGATCTGAGCAACACATGTGTGATCCGTTTGAGTCAATACATTTCCAATAGACAGACATTCCGGTCGATACTGACCAAAATCGTGGCGATGTTTCCCAATTTAAAGCGCCTATACGTTCGTCTCTTTGAACTTTACATCTCAAAAGATATCTTCCTATCGATCGCCCAGAGCTGTGTCCGCGACCTCCAGAGTCTGTCCATCATATGTGGCGCTAATAATGTATACATTAGCGAAGCCGAGGCACTACTACTGGCCATTCGTTACCCAAACATCCGAGTCCTGCAGTTGCAGTCAAATAACTTATTCATAGAGCAGTCGGCCATCGATAAACTCCTCCAGAATCTGCCAAAACTGGAAGTGTTTGCACTGAACGACACATTTTGCCACAATATGGCAAACAGTCCCGTATACGACGGCACAGTGTATCGACATCTGAGCACCGGTATTAAAGTCCTAATAACCACTGGCAATATATTAACACCCGATGTCTTACAAGACATGGTTCGCAGACCGTATCATCGATTACGGGAACTAATGGTACATCAGTTCGACATCAAGTGTATGGCACTAATCGCCCGACACTTCCAGTCCATTGAGTGGCTTATCATTCATTTGGATCCCGACTGGTGCTCGGACTTCACGGCCCAGGAGTTCAACCAATTCATACGGGAGGTGTCGGCCATGAGAAACATGACTCACTTTACTCTGAATTTTATCGGGATTTTCGATTGGGATTTGGATTACAACGGGGATGCCGTTTGGGATCCATTGCCGCCCGACTTCACAGCCAATGAGATACAACTCCTGGGGTTGTGTCCGAAGTTAAAGAAACTGGAAGTAACGGCCCGTATGAGCGCCGACTCCATGTTCGCCATCAAGTGTTTGACAAAACCAAAGGAAATTTATATTGATTTCAGACTAACGGCTCAATTGAGTGTTGAATCCATTGTTCATTTGATGTGAATCGCCAGTCAAAGACCCCACCAATCATTTTAATGCTTTTGTGTTGGGGCTCTGGAGTATGTGGTCTATGTTATCCATGAGGTCTGGATCCATGAGATCCTCCCCAAGAATATGAGAATAAATTTCTTGTGATTATTATATTTGACTAATTATTTTGAGTGCAAATAAAGATCTTACAAATGAACACAAATATTGTCATTAAATTACATGAAATTCATTCTAGCTTATGAAAATTGATACAAAACAAACTGGGTTATTATCTGATGTAAAGGATTTATTATAATTATGTTTTTTTATTGAAACCATTTGATAATTTATAAATGAATACGTAAATATACATCTGAAAAGTTATTTGTATGACATGTTTGATATTATAATCAATTGGAAAATATTTGTGTATTTACTAAGTGTTGTATTTATTCCTAATAAGTTATTAGTATTTATTTATTGCCATTTAATTGTAAGTAATTTATAATGTTTTTTAGTCAAATTATAGTACAATTCCTATAAAACTTATTCAATATTAAAAAATTTCTATTATTTATAAAATAAAACTTGAATTTATACCAAATATCAATTAATTAGTGATCACGTAGCCCATAAAATAGCCTAGTAGTTTTGCATTTATAACGTATACTATTGACTATTGTCTGAAAACACACATTACTTACATCAAAAAACATTTTTTATTACTTATTTAATTATTTAGGTTAGGTTTTAGCAAAGGGTGGTGGTGGGGAGTAAAGTGGTGTAGCGGTTAGAGTGTCGCACTAACAATAGCTAAGTTAAGGTTAATCAATAGGAGGGACATGAGATCGCGCCCCAAGCGGGGAAAAATTATTTTTTATTAAAAGTTTGTTAAAAAGTTTTGAAGTACTTTATAATTATTATATTTATTTTTGTTTGATTATATTTTTGTAGATAAATATTTAAAATAAAATATTTATTACATGAATATAACCTGGTCATTTTATTGGCCATATTTTGTGGTCAATGTTTGTTATAAAATTTTTGTAATTAATTTAGTTTATAGTAATCCTAATTATATTATTATTTTACGAGTTTCAAGTGTGTATTGAAATTAAGTTTCAATTTGATAATAAGGTAACAATAGTTCAATAGTTTATACGGATATCTATGAAAATAAGTGTTTGACTAAACATACGGTATATCTAAAGTTAATCAATACTTTCAAACACTTATTAATTATCAAAATACTGATCAATAGTTTATCATAAACAACTTTAACTAATTTTTTGATCAGTCTATGAATTTTGGTTAAATTTGTGATAAATTAATATTAGTTTTAATTGTAATAACAAAAGTAAAAGTTATGTTAATTACTGTTTTATGATTTGTTGAAACCCTTTTCCCTCAAGTCCTTGAACTCCAAACCTTTTCAAACATTTTTTACATCAAAAACAACTTTTTAGGCAATTATTTAGTTTTAGGTTTTACATAAAAAGCAATTCATTTAAATAACAAAAACTTTTATTACAAAAAACATAAACTTTTAATTTAGGGTTACTTTCAAAATGAATGCAGTTTTCAGTATATGTTTAGTGTCCACGATATGTGCCATCAGTTTGGCTCAGGATTTTGATGTCGATACCCATGACCACGGGTCAGGAGTTGATGATCATCAAGGTAAATTAGTTATTTACTAAAGTCTATGTACTTTAATTACAATTTTACAAACAGTTGATAACATAATCGGGGACATAACAAGCTATGTTGGGGACCTATCTCACGGATTGGGAGATATTGGACACGGAGGTGGAGGTCATGGCGACGAAGACGATGAGGATATTGATGACAATCATGAAAATTATGGTC